ATAATCCTGGACCTTTAAAATTTTTTAATTTTAGGTCCAAAAAAAAAAAAAAAAAAAAAAAAAAAACATCTCAGAAGATACACAGACAGTAGGGAGCCCAGGTATTGAATTGGGCTTCAAATCAAGTTGTTTTTAATTGATTGGTATTGAAGTGTCTGGCTAAAGTCAAATCCACGATACCCTGTTGTTGCTTAAATGTCTGCAATGTGAGCCGCAACGCGAGTCGTGAGTTATCTCACTCATTTTGTTAACTAATCTGGGTTTCTCCAGATAAGCAAGAGATGTGTTGTCATCCAATGATGCTTACGTCGAAAGACTGCAATGGCTGCTGGAGAGCTCTGTCTGTGCTACGTAAACCTGCTGTGCACAATTGTTTGCATTAGGGAAATCTAAATAGAGAGCAGCTGAAACACTAGTTATTAAATTTCATTATGTGAAAAGCAAAGCATTACATTTATGAAGTGAGAGACAAACATTCAGGCAAGTTTTGTTTGCACACTGCTAACTGGAACGTCTTGAATTTCTTAGCAGATGAATTATTAACAAACCAGATGACAAAACGTAGCTCGATCCATTTCGATGGATCCAGCCACCTGCACTGGGTCGATACTGATAGTATGTGGTTTACTGAAGCAACCTAGCCGGGTTATTAGCTTCATGTAGCATATATGTTACCTCATCTGGACCTTCTTTCTACACTTAATTTTGGATACTGTACCAGATTTAGGCCAGATTTTGCACAGGCCGGCTTAGTTTGTAAGCGCCACACAGACTAAATACTTTATTTACTAATATAACAACATTTGCAAGACACTGGTCCATAATTTACATTTCTCTTCAGGTCATTTTTAAAAGAAGTGCCACATGGCGAGGAGTTGGAATGACTGTTGCCTTGTAATTATTATATCAACTATAGAGAGAAGATACCAACTTGGAGTATGCCTTCAGTGAGTTTGCATTTGCTCCCCATACACACAAGGATTCTCTCGGGAGAACTCCCACATCCCAAGAACATGGCCATTTAGTTTATGGACGTCTCTAAACTGTCTAAGAGTGCACATGTATGGTTGTCTGCCTTGTATCTCTCTGTGTTGCCCTGGTGACTGACTGGTGACCCGTCCACGGTGCAAATAGTGCTCCCCCAAATTTCTTAAGGAAATTAACTACATGCTGGAGCAGCATCTGAAGGATGTCCTGCAGAAGTTCTGGTTGGGACAAAATGTAAACACACACAAAGCACCAATTCCACAATGATATATTAACGTAGTATCTCGATGGGACTTGGCGTCTCTTCAACCACACCCTCCAAACTGCCTGAATTAATGTCCTTTCAGCCATAGCTCCACTCTATATTCGATAATCTAGCATCCTTTATGTACATTCTCATTTGTTGCTCACTTATATAAATAAACTTTAATTGCCTACCTGTATCCCAATAGAAGAGAGTTTCCGCCTTGGTAATGGGGCTACAAAGAGCTCCTCTGCTGCTAAATTCCCTTTACTAGATCCTGATTTCACGGATTCATTGTGGACTGCCGAGTCACTCGTCTCTGTGGAAGCATTGGCGGTGCTAGGGATGACTGGCTCCCTCGGCGTAGCGATGGGAATAGGGATGATATGCGGAGGACGAGGAATACCACGGGCCAGGCTGTTGGCACGGGTGCTGTCAAGGCTGTCAGAGGAGTTGCTGTGAACGTGGCTCGACTGGCTGTTGACCTCTGACCTCCTGTCCTGTTGGTCCAAGTAGTTGTCCTGCGCTGACTCGGTGCTGCTCTGCACCGTCACCGATATGTAGGGCTTGGAGGTTGTGCGTGGAGGCACCGGTGGAGGAGCGGCCTTCTTACAGCTTGTTATGCATGTGGAGACTGCAAACAAAAACGGCGGGATTAGGATAAAAGGATTAGCAAGGATAAAGTTGTGAAGTAGCTACAAATCTATTGTTTTTGGACCCGAAACAAGAGTGGACACAGAAGTACAAATAAGTAGTTTGTGCATAAAGAGCTTGACCCACTCTTTGATAATTAACTTCATAACAAAGTCCATTGTTTATTTTATGAAACTTTTGAGCGACAGAGAGGGGACATTCCAGAAGCTTAATGTTAGTCTGCAGCGTCAACATAGAAACCAGTTTTTCAAATTAACAGATAAAAATGCCCAGTAACCAGAGTACAGGTCTGCCATGAACTGTTCAACACAATTCTTTGCTCAGCTTTCTCTATACAGAGTATGCAACTGTACTCGTATGATCTCAAGCATGCCTGTAAGTTTTCATTAACTGTGAAATAATATTTTGGAAAGTTTTCTTTCTGCCCCGTCAGCATAATAGGCACCGAAAGGCAAAAGTTCATAATAATATAGTAAAATGAAATGCGCGAGAGGTCTCACTCATTTGTTGTCTTGTGTTTCATCGTCACCCTCCCTCACTGAGATTTATTTCTCTGACAAAATTGCTTCTGCTCCAGCAAATGATCCTGATTTAACCTGCATGCTTACAGTGGTTGGAGACAGGCAACAAAAACAGGGGGGGGGGGTCCAGGAATCCAAAACAAAACATTTCCCACTGACACACCACTGCAGCATTTGTGAAACACATGTCGGAGCGCTACATGACTTGCAAGTGCAAACACCAAGCAGGTTACAGCATACTCTACGTCACATTCCAGCAAAGCAACACCACTGACATCATTCCGCGACACCCGAGACGACACCCAAACCACACCCGAGTTGGCCCGTCTCCACACTGCAGGACTGTCTTCATTCCAAAACACAAACGTACTGAAGACGCTGAGCTGACAGGAAAAAACAAGGCTTTGTGAACATGCAGCACCTTGCAAACGACTTTCCAAATGAAATCCTGGAGAACGTCTGGTTTTCTTTTTTATATGTCTAGGATGCAGTTCCAATTTTATTCTATGAAATGTTCACAGATTTTTTTTTTTATAGCAGTAATTTAAGAAAAATAAAAAGGTGTGCACCCTTAGCCACAAATAAACTCAGTCCAGCAAATTCTTCTTTTTTAAATACACACAATGCCATGGTCTTAAACAGACCACAAAACCCTCTTGTGTAGCTGAATTAAAACAATTCTGCCAACAAGAATGGGCTTTCACAACAGTTCTTGCAAACATTAATCACAGTTGTTACCATCGAGTGTGATAAAACCAGATATTAAACTTTGGATCCAATTACTTGGAACACATTAATTCAAGATAAAAGCACAATTGTTTCTTGTTTAAAAACTGATAACTATTCCTACCGTAGCAAAAAAAAAAAAAAAGCAAGCCTACATTAGTGACTGGTTTCTCTGCCATGACTATTCATGTTTGTTGTAGGACACCTGTCCTTCGTATGTGAACAATATGGCAAACCTTAGAAGTTACTGACATTGGAGATTTTATTGCAACTAGCGCAAAGTTTGTGCCAAGGCACTGTCCTTTTTTGTTTTATTTATTTGTTTTGTCTCTGTGAGAAAAAGGCATACAGTCATTTCATTTAGCAAGACATTTTGTAGAGTGACAACTTCCAGCAGGTTTGTGCACACCACAAATGGATTAAAGCCACCATGAAATAACATTTCAGTGATGTCCTCCTTTATCAACAGTCCACAGGAGGCAAATTAGTGGCAGAGGCTTGGTGCTCTCCTGTTGTGCAGAGGAGATTCTCTGATTGACTGTAAAATAATATCTCGGTCTGCTTTCGCAACCAGTTCCTCCTTTACCCACAGAAATAAGCCCTAAACTAATATTTGACATAAGCCCACGAGATTAAATATTAAATGGAGAAGCAAAGCCTTATCTAAATAAATAGACTATTCAAAAACAATCCAAACAATAGACGCTTACAACAATAATGGTTATTAAACAGGAAAAGGCTAGAACAAGTAACACAAAAGTCTCGTCTCTAAGGTGCATTATGAGAAACATATTATAATTAACATGGCAATCTATGTGTTCCGATCTTTACAGCATCCCTGAAAGACATCTGATTATCCAAGTACTTAATTAGAAAAAAACTTTTTATGTATAGCTACATAAAATGCTAATTTATAGATGTACTAAAACTTTATCAAGTGCTCAATATCAAAGCTGATGCAGATGGAGGTTAACATGAAAATGTCAGCATTTTTATGATGACCACAACTAATATTGACCTTAGACTGTTAAGAAATGCTCTTTGCTGTCATTTGGTGCGTTGTCCTTGTGAGCTTGATGGTGAGGCAGTCCGTCTAACCGGAGACTAACGAGATCGACCACATTAGAGATCAGACCGGTTATACAGACGGTTGGAGTTTAACCACAGGCCCCCATTGTTCACACAGAGCAACTACACGAAAGAGTCAAGGAGGAAGCAACCTAAATACATCTGATTCATGATGATTTTCGGCAAAACCCCCCAAAAAAAAAAAAAAAAAAAAATGCAACCACATCAGAATCGCTCCTCAGACAAACACTGCAAGTGGCATGTTTTATCATCAGCCAGTTTCCTGTGATATATTTGCTTACGTGACAGATCCCCGCCTCTCTAGCACAGCTGTATAAGCATAAAGCTCATCTCTGCATGAGCATCAACTACTAAGCAATGGCGCTCGTGCCAGACCCAGTGTTTCTAAAGACTGACTTTCATTGAGATGAAGAACTATAAAATTGGACATTAAGCCAAGCACTATGGAGCTTTAATTGGACTTATCAATACAGAAGCTCAACAAAAACTAACTATGGTTTCTCATTAGAGGTGAATTTTAACAAGAAAAAGAGCCACTTTGCTTACGTGCCAAAATTGTCAGTGTAGGATCTAGAGTGGGCACTGAGAGCTGCTGCTTTAGTGTCATTAGAAACCACGTTCTGCTGTCCACTGTGACTGCTGGATCACAAACATTTTTTTTTTCCCCAGCCAAGAAAACAATTTGCTTCAAGATGTTCCAGGAGGTGAAAACAATTTAAAACAACTCCACTCAGTGAACCATAAAAGAAAACAAAACATGTCCTAATGCTGTTCCAAAGCTTTGTTGGAGCATTACAGCATACATACTACTATGTTATACTGCTGCTATGTAATCAGCATCGTGACAAAACAGTTACAACTTTAGAAGTACCAACACATTCCTGAAAACCTTTCTCCATATTTCTGGGATGTAGAGAAGCTACAATTTTGTGCTTGACCAGCACTGAACAATGACCAACCAATTTAAAACTAAAAACTTGGGAACTTCTATCCAATCAGTGAATGCCCCATACTTGAACTCTAACAGGTTGAAATAACAATCTTCAATGTTGAAGTTGATACAGAGAGAAGAAAACTCAAAGCTTGGTATTTTCAATCAGAAGAAGCTTCTAGAAAGGTAGTTGTATTATTAAAGGTCTTCAGGTCCCGCATTCAGGCTGTGTCCTAAGCTAAGCAGGCACATCGGTGCTCTTTTTTTTTTATTTTTTATGAGCTACCAACCTTTCATACCTGATTTTGAAATGCTGGTAGGTGTTTAGAAATCTCAGAAAAGAAATAAGGGCCTTGTTCTGAAGGCCTTGCACACATAGACTGCTGTTAGCCATGAAAAATGCTATATTTAAGCTAATAACTAATATTATATGCTAATTCTGACAGCATGCACTGCTGCCTTGCAGCAAGTGTTTGAAAAATACGAGTTTTAGGTCACTTGGCCCCATAAACATAGATACATGCATAACCTATTCAGAGAGTTTATCAATAAACTGATAAACTGTCTCACCTGAAAAATGATTTCCATTAGTGATCCAACACACAAACCACCATGCGGGTCAAAAGTAGGACAGGCTTGAAATAATGTCTTTGGAAATTGTCCTACCTCTAAAATATATGAAAAAAAAATAAATCAACATTGATGCTGACATTAGACTCATAATGTCATAATGTAACCCAGCCAGACAGTGATGGGATGACTTAAAATATGCAGCAACCCTGCGTGTAGGGTTGCTGCAAGCAGCCCTAAATACGTTTATAATAAAATTCTACATTCAAGTTTCATTGTCGAATGGTAAGTCTGGTCCAAATCAGAAAAATAATCTGACATTAAAGTTATCGGCAACTGGCAACGAATTAAATTAGTAGAAAGCGCTAAAAACGCAGGACTAAATGGGTTACTTACCCTCGCCTATGACGGAGATAAACGTCGTGTGTAATTATTAAAACAGAAAAACACAAAAGTGTAGCTGTTTGCAGCTCAGTCATTCATTTAACTCCAGCTAAGCAGCCGAAAGGACGGATGTTTGGCTCTAGTTTGAGGAGTTTCTCCCAGCTCCACGGGAGGAGACTTTGTGTGGTGCTTTCAGGGACGCCTCTGACATTAGAACTTCACCTTAAAACTTCCACACCATAAAACTTTCTGTTTATAATTTATCCAACCAAGCACTTATGTGAAGTTAGTTTTTGTTTTTCCTTTCCGAGCCATAATTCTGAATAATATTTTGTGAACAACTCATTTGAGACTCTAAACTGCACCGTTTGTAACACGACTTGAATGTGAGAAGCCATTTGCTAATGATTACTCTATAAAGATGCAACTGAAAATATCTTAAAAGAACAGCTACAGTAACCCTAGAAGTAACTGTAATGTAATAAATAAATAAATAAAAACTCTTTACTAGGATGTCCTCAGCTATGCCACATCAAAACTGAACATTTCCACACGAAAATTTCCCATGAAGGCAGCGCATGGCTTCCTTTGAAAATAACAGTAAAGAGCGCCACATGGTGGATACTGATGATATGAAAACTTAAGTCAATGCCAAACTACTGACAACGTAATTCTGTATCGAGGGAGCAGTCAGGGGACAGGAAAAGCCGCTTTCCATAATATGTCGTGTCTCATTCGTTATCATTCTGCCTCTGTGATTTTAACATTAAAGTGAACACTTGTATTTTTGTTGTTGTTGGCGTTGTCCGTAACTCAGCGAACTAAAGTCACAGACAACTAGAAATCTGATTTGATGTTTTAGACTGCTGTCCAGCAGTTGGGTGTCACTTTCCAAACAATCTTTTAAGCCAAGGCTTCTCAAACTGCGGTACATGTATCATGGGTACGTGGGCTGCCTTTAATTGCACTCTTTGTGTCAGCCATCAAAAAGGTAAATAAGCTTACCAACAGGAAAAATGTTGATTTGTTCAAGCTCATCAATCTCCGTGTCAATCAGGCGCTACTTAAACTAGAAGTTAAGTTGTTTCAAGAGTTCTCACTATAAAGTCAAGCAGGTGCTGGTGACTTTTCATTTATCTTTAAATTCGGAACATGAATCTGAGAACGAAGACAAGTTAGCAAGCAGGGATCGTCTTAGGTGTTCAAACACCAAAAGAGCATCTTTGCTAACATGTTCTGCATATGTGAGAGGTGAAATAATACACATACCATTAGAAATTGAAATAAACTCTTTATTACACTCAGCAGCCATAGCGGATTATGATGTTATGGTTTCTGAGAAACCTGCAACTTTCCTGCTTGAAATTTCAATTTCAGGAGATTTCCCAGCCAGCATGCCTAGGTGGGACCCATGTGGGGACAAGGAGGGCAGACTATATGGGTCCCATATGGGTTTGTCCGCGGGTTCCACGATGGCCCCACATGGGTTTGCCCATGTAGGGCCACAGCCCACATGGGTGCTACATGGGCCCTAATTGGACAAAACCCATGTGGGCCACCACCATATAGGGCCCATGCAGGGCCCATGTGGGCTCTGGCCCTACATGGGCAAACCCATGTGGGGCCATCGTGGAACCCGCGGACAAACCCATATGGGACCCATATAGTCTGCCCTCCTTGTCCCCACATGGGGCCCACCTAGGCATGCTGGCTGGGTTTTCTGCCTGTTTTTCCAACTAGGGATTTATACAGACAAACCCATGAGCATGAGTTTTTTGATTTCTGAAGGAAATCAAAGGCAGAGTCATCCTTCATCAAACTATAAGAGATCCTGTTTTAAAATGTCTGTCAACACAACATGTATTTATGTATACAGTGAGATGAAACCAACACTTTGAGATAACGTTTAAATTATTATTATTATTATTATTTTGTTTATAACATGAAAATTCACGAGAGTTAAACTGATTGGATCTTTTCAGGGGAAGAGGTTTTGAGTTGTTACCTGTGTGTGTGGGTAGGATGAGTGGTCTGTCTGTCCCGAAACGCTGAAGAAAAATTGCAAGTTGTTTCTCCTTTGGGGCTTTGTCCAAGCCAGTGGCTATCAGGTAAGAGGCAAACTGTTCTTTCCATGTCTTCCATTGTGTAGAAAGGTCGTCTAGTGTGGGCAAAAGAGGCTGCATTTAAGCTAAATATGCTACTTTGGGAAAAAGCTGGAAGATCAGGGTCTTGCTAAGGACCAAGAATTAAAAGGATGCAAAGTGAAATACAAAGGACAGCAGGAACTTGGAACAAGTCATTGTTTATCAAAGGGGTGACAAAAAAAAAAAAAAAAAAAAACCAGGGAAAGAAAAAAAGCGGGTTTTTTATAAGATTTAA